TTGTCCTTCACCATGGCGTGGGGGTAGTGGCGTCGAGAGCGGAGGCGCTGGGCGCGGTGGAGAAGCGGAGGAGAAAGAAAGGGGAGCAGGCGTGCACAGTGCAAGCGCCTCGGCCCCGTCACCTTATAAAGGGTCACTTTCGAGTGACTGACGCGTGGGACCAGGCAATCCCGTCAAATCCCGCAATAGTTGCGTGCAGCGTACATGGCGAAAAAGGCGGCGCAGTAATCGAGGCATCTCTACTTATCCGGACCGCCCGTTTCAGCGCTCTCCGGCCTGCACGCTTCCCTGAAATTTCGTATCCCGCGAAATCCGGGATACACCGCGGACAATCGCGCCCAAGATCTCGTGCTCAGACACAGCACTCGACGCATGAGGCCATCAGTTCAGTCGACAGATCACTGAATGGATCAAGGCGACTGTGTCGACACCGAAGTACCAACGCGGGCATTCGGTCTTGTAGAAAACACTCGCGAAGACACGAAGCTCGGAGCAGGTTCAACTTCGACCTACTTTCCACTCGCACCTTAATCCATTCGGGGGCTACTAACGAGGATACAGACCTGGGGTAGGGTCATAGGCCTGACCTATACATCCTACCCAAGGTCACTACCCTGGAAGATAAAAAGGCCAAGAGACAACAGGAGAACACCGGTCGAGTGCGTCGAGTGCAATCCACTCGACGGCCACATCAATCGACCATATGGAGAGTCACTCGACTTATCGAAAACCAGGAGTCAGAAGGGCACACAATGGTCGGACGTTCACCCCTTAGCTTTTATAAGCATTAAGAGTACTTAAGGCTGGCGTTACCAGTAACGCCCCTTACTTTATGTACATTAAGCCCCTTGTAATGAGGGATGGCTGGGGTCCTGGCGCACTCTATATAAGCCACCCCCTCCTTTGGGACAAGGGTTCGCACCCCCTTGTAATATCACACACATAATCCAATCGACCGCCTCCGGGCACCGAGACGTAGGGCTGTTACTTCCTCTGTGAAGGGCCTGAACTCGTAAACCTTGTGTGTACACCTTCACCATAGCTGAGATCTTGCCTCTCCATACCTACCCCCCTTTCTACTGTTAGTCTTAGGACCACGACAGGCACCATGGGCTGGCATTGTATCCCTGGCTGCAAGGGGAAGCATGAAAACGAGGCCCAGTGGTCTTCCGGCCGCCACAGCCGCTCCACCCCTCCCTCGACCTCCCCATCCCCCTACATTCTACATCTCCCTGTCGACGGCCCAACCTCGGCGGCAGCCATACATCCGATGCTACCAGGCCCGTCTTCCGGCCGATCTCGTCAATGACCGCATGTATGCCCTAGATTCACCTCTATGGGATACCTGGTTCCGCGATGAGCGTGACTTGCGGCGACAGTCGTATTTTGCCGGCCGTCCTCAGAGCCCGCCGTGGGTGCGCTCGACAAGCCGTGCGCGCGTTCTAGGCCCGCCCCGGTCTCACGGGCGTGTGCTGTTCGTGGCGTTTTCGCCTTGCCGTCCTCACCACCACCACCACCTCCGATGACCGACGAGGAGGAGGCGGAGCTCATGAGGCGGGTGCTAGAGGACTCCGTTTGCACCCACGAAGAGGCCCAATGGGAGGGCCTCAAACATATGATAGCTCTCTCCGTGGCCGGCGACGTCGCCATCCCGAGCCCGATGTCGTGGTCAAGGAAGAGGCCATGACGAACATGCAAGAGGACCACCGCGGCCCGTCCTGGCCGTGGACGAAGACGATGGCATGCACGCGAGAGTACGTGTCCGGGCCCCGTGTGGGTGGGCGCCGACACGTGGTCACCTTCGCCACCGCGGTCGGAGGTTGTGCAGGCGCCACCCCAGCCGCCTACGGCCTGGTAGGGGCCGCCAGCCCACCTCTAGTAGCCACCATTGTACGTCGACCTCACCAAGGACGACGAGAAGGAGGGCGGCGGGGCGTGAAGACGGTGGCGGCATCAAGGACGGCCACGGCAGGCGTCATCAAGTCTTTTTTATGTTTTTTTAAATTTTAAGTTAAGTTTAATGTGCGGATGGGACTTGTTTAAACATTTAAATATTATTGTACTGTTTAATTATGTTTATTTGTATGATTTTAAATATGTGGATGATTTTTTTTGACAAGCCGGACAAAATGTGATGTAGCCGTCCGGTTGGGTGCCTTATTAGGCGGACCGTCAAAGCCGGACACGGCCGTCCGTTTTCCCGACCCAAACGTAGTACAAAATCCGAACAAATCGTTCTCGTTTAGAGTCGACGGTTGGAGTTGGGTTAAAGCAATCGCAAACTGCAGATACGTGCGCAGTATCCAGTGACAATCAGAAAACAGAATGTCCAGTTTTGAAGTCCTATGGACAGCTCGAGCTCGTGCGATGGGACCTCCGTGAAGAAGTTGGGGCATTTAAGATATCCAATGAAGAACTTCTTCCTCTGTAGAAACTTACTTTATTTGGTAGTGAAGCCAAGCTCGTGCGATGGGACCCCCGTGAAGAAGTGACAGACGACCGGCTGGAAGTCTGCCTCCACAGAATGAAAATACTCGGAAAATGGAAAGGAGAGCACTGTCTCTTTCCCGAAATGGACAGCTCGAGGTCAGTCCATGGTCAGTGGTCAGTCCACCGCACCGTGTATTTCCCACTGCCGTCCCAGCAACTCCCCCCGCGACCTGTGCGCAGACACCATCAGCTAGAGAAGTCTGCCAGGTCCACACGTACTACGACATTTTCTTACTCCTAATTATTCTGCTAACCACTCGTGTCAGTGCGATCTTCCGTCAGGATTTCGATCTTCACCTGCTCTGAACCTACCAATCAGGCTCCGGGTCAGTCAAGTCGCCAAGATTAGTCTTTGCTAGCTCACACCACGCCCATGGTTTTTCCCTGTGGTTTGCAGCTAATTGCGTTGAAATATGCAGACCGGACAGGCGCGTCTCCCCGATGCCCCCCGTTACCCACGCACGATTGCGCTGGCTGAATAATGTCAACTTTCAACAAGATCTAAGCATCAAAAAATTTATCTGCGAGTGCGTTCGTAGGGATAAGTGTATGTGCATGCTCATGTACGTGAGCGATTGTACTGTGTGTACAAGAAATTATCTGCGTCGAGATAGGGTGGGCGTACAGCACGGATGCTTGAGCCGAGAAGATGTTGAGTAAAACGTGTGCTAGTGGACGTGTGGACCGTGATGTCCTGATCTATCGTTTTCATGGACGACTCCTATCGCCTGCCTTCTACAGAGAGCCTCACTCCGATTTGGCCATCGGTACTATCAGATATATCTTTCTGTTTTGCCCCACACTTCCCTGTCTGCTGTGCTTGCTCACTGATAGACACGGATAAATAGAATCAAGCAAGAAACATGCTGCATTCTAGAAAATAAGTAGAATGCAGAAATGGTGTAGATCTGAATAATGACAGCCTTTCTCATACAAGACAGAGAAAAATAAATAAATATGCACGCCACAGAGAAAAAGCACAAATTCGATGCACAAACACAAATTGGGTTCAAATAAGTACATAAAACTTATTTAAACGCAGTTTGGTGCCGATTCGAAATAAGTACATAGAAATTAATATGGACTAAAATAAAATTTAGACTAAACTGACCGAAACTTACTACTCGCTTTCTTCCTCGATGCTCTTCCACTCCGCTCGGCTGAGCTCGGTCGGTATCTGTTTCTTCCTCGATGCTCTTCCATTCCGCTCGGCTGAGCCCACCAATCATAGAGTCCGGGCCACCCTCGTTATCGTCGACGTCGAAGTCGGAGTCGGAGTCGAAGTCGCTGGACAGAAAGATGACGCCCGTCACCCGGCTGCATACAACCCGTGCTCCTCCTCGACTTGCTCTAGGTAGCGGCGGCGGAGCTCCGGAATGTACTCCTCGCCGGCGGCATCCGCCGCGATGCGCTCTGAGACATTCCGGTCCTCCCTCATCTCTCGCGCGGAGTCCACCTGCGGATCTGCGGGCTCCAGCCGCGACATCTCACCAAAAGCGAAGTTCCGTTGTCCTTCGGAGCCGCGACATCGTAGGCCCGCACCGCCTGCTCGGCCAAATGGAGGGAGCCAATCCAAATCTTCTTGTCGGTGTGCCGGTCGGTTATCTCGACCACCCACATTCCCCCAATTCCGCCGTCGCACACTGATGCATTGCCTCTGTGGCGGCAGTGGCGCGAGATCAGGGAAGCCGGGCAGGCGGCTGTGGGAGGAAGAAGATGCTGCGAGAGAGGAAGTAGCTTCGCGGCCTCAAGAACGCTCGTGGCGGCGCGGATCCACGTTGTGCATGAGCGGCGAGGTCCAGTCATATCGGCGGCGGGTCAGCGTTGGAGTGGGTGTGGGTGAGGTTGGGTGGCGGGGATCGGGTGGAGGGTCGGTTCAGAGGCGAAGTTGGATTTTCTTTTACTCCGCGGCGGCGAGGAGTAAATTTAAGGGTCACATGCAGGCGCGGAGCTACGTTGGGGCAAAACCCGGCCGTGGCCCGCCCAGGGTAGCACCAAATAGGAAAGTTATTAAGGTCAGCTTTAATCTAGTCTGTTTGGCCCGCCCAAAGATTTTTTACTCCTTTGAGTTTTTTTGACTTAAGGCCAGATGTCGGTTAGAGAGAAAAACCAGATTTCTTTTTCTCGGCTAGAGTTGCCCTAACACATGCATCTTTACCAGCTAAATCACACTAGTCATTATCTGGTGATCCCACGCCGTTTGATTACACTCCGTGACATACAGTACATTTCTTCCGATTCCACCTCGTCAGGTAACGCTGAGCATGTTTCTGAGTGTCTCACACGAAATGGTCTTCGTCAGTCAAGTTTTCCAAAGTCTTCTTCAGATTTCCTGGTGCTTTCCCACCTCCACTTCGCACGACGCACGCGCTCTTCCAGTTCCACCTCGCCATCTATAAGTAGGCAGCACCACCACGAGCTCAACACCCAGCTCAAGCTTGAAGGCATCACTCAGCCACAGCACTTGCATCATCATCAGCGTACCTGCCCGGTGGTCAGCTTCGATCCCAATGGAGCTTCCTCAGCTGGCGTCCTTCCTCGGCGTGGTGCTCGCCACGGTGCTCTTCCTCAAGGCTGTCCTCCGCCGCCGCCGCCGCCAGTACAACCTCCCGCCGGGCCCCAAGCCTTGGCCGATCATCGGCAACCTCAACCTCATCGGCACGCTCCCGCACCGCTCCATCCACGCTCTCTCCAAGAAGTACGGCCCCCTCATGCAACTGCAGTTCGGCTCCTTCCCCGTCGTCGTCGGCTCCTCCGTCGAGATGGCCAAGTTCTTCCTCAAGACCCACGACGTGGTGTTCACCGATCGCCCCAAGACCGCCGCCGGCAGGTACACCACCTACAACTACAGCGACATCACCTGGTCCCCCTACGGCGCCTACTGGCGCCAGGCCCGCAAGATGTGCCTCACCGAGCTCTTCAGCGCCAAGCGGCTCGAGTCGTACGAGTACATCCGCAGGGAGGAGGTTCTCGCCCTGCTCGGCGACCTGTATCGCGGCGGCGCCGGCGCCGGCCGCGTGGTGGTGCTCAAGGACTACCTGTCCACGGTGAGCCTGAACGTGATCACGCGCATGGTGATGGGCAAGAAGTACCTGGAGAAGGAGGTGAAGGACGAGGCAGGGGCGGTGATCACGACGCCCGAGGAGTTCAAGTGGATGATCGACGAGCTGTTCCTGCTCAACGGCGTGCTCAACATCGGCGACTCCATCCCGTGGCTGGACTGGATGGACCTGCAGGGGTACATCAAGAGGATGAAGAAGCTGAGCAAGATGTTCGACCGGTTCCTGGAGCACGTGGTGGATGAGCACAGCAAGCGCCGTCGCCGCGAGGGGGAGAGCTTCGTGGTGAAGGACATGGTGGACGTGCTGCTGCAGTTCGCCGGCGATCCCGGTCTTGAGGTCAAGCTCAACAGAGAGGGCGTCAAGGCTTTCACTCAGGTGAGTACTATTGCTTTCCTTCCCTGCAGCGAATTAATTATGTTTAGCCCCTGCTTGCTCCTACACGAATGTAGTTGGTTGCCTGCACTGAAAACAAAAACAAGTATCATCGTTCTAAGCAGAAAGGGCAGCAAAGCATATTATGTCCTGATGCTATCGTCTGTTCAATCGGTCTAAGCGAGTCAGACTTCAATAATTCCATCATCTGAACTCTGGGGAAAATAATTGGGTTGTTCATAGGCACGTCCCACCATGTGTAGACAAGTTCCACCAAAAACAGTAGAGAAAAAACTGTAGACAAGTTCAATCGTGACATTGCCATTCATGTAGACAATGCACGCAGTTAATTACTTAGTCACAAGACTCGCAACTGATTCTATTAACTATGTATAACAGTATCGCTCATTTACACAACACCAATAATTCTGACTTTTCACACTAATCAACACCATTCTGAAACGTGCTCGTGTAGGACCTCATTGCCGGCGGCACAGAGAGCTCGGCGGTGACAGTGGAATGGGCCCTCTCAGAGCTCCTGAAAAAGCCAGAGGTGCTCGCCAAAGCCACGGAGGAGCTGGACCGTGTGGTGGGGAGAGGCCGATGGGTCACCGAAAAGGACATGCCGAGCCTTCCATATGTGGATGCCATCGTCAAAGAGACCATGCGGTTGCACCCGGTGGCACCGATGCTTGTACCCCGCCTTTCCCGTGAGGACACGTCCATCAACGGCTACGACATCCCCGCCGGCACACGGGTGCTAGTCATGGTGTGGTCTATTGGCCGTGACCCGAAGTTGTGGGAGGCGCCGGAGGAGTTCATGCCAGAGCGTTTCCTCGACAGCAGACTCGACGTCAAGGGGCAGGACTATGAGCTGCTTCCATTCGGGTCAGGACGCAGGATGTGCCCCGGGTATAGTTTGGGACTAAAGGTGATCCAGGTAAGCCTGGCAAACCTGCTGCATGGGTTCACATGGAGACTCCCTGACGGTGTAGAGCTGAGCATGGAGGAGATCTTCGGCTTGTCCACACCACGTAAGTTCCCGCTGGAGGCCGTTGTGGAGCCCAAGCTACCAGCTCACCTCTATGCCGAGGCTTGAATATATGATACATGTGTGCACTCGTGTGTTGAGTACTTATTATTACTTGTGTTCTTGTATTTTTTTTATAACTTTTTTCTAGTATTGTATCGTCTGCGGTACAGACTCAAGTGATGGGGATGTGTAAGGAAGGGTGTAAAAAATGTATGGTAATTGCTAATACAATAAGTGAAATAATGTGAATTCCCCTCTTTAAAGACGTCTATCAAAGCATCGCCTCATTTGAAGTTTTGTTAATGCTGCTAGGTTGTTGATCATTTCAGGTGTGTCCACCTGGGTGGCTTTTGTTGGTTTAAATGAGAATTGTCCCACCTTCGTTCTGTAAATCTTAGTCTGGGAGTCCGTCCTTTGAATCAGTTTCTGATAGGGGAAATTTCAGCCGATAATAATTATAGCACCTATGTGAGTTCTATATGGCAACCAACTTGGACAAATCTCTTGTCCGAGAAATCGACTGGAAAACAAATTATATTCAAGATGGCTTCCTCGGAGAAATCACATACATATGTTACTAAGGTGGTTTTCGGTGTGACATTCTCAACAATCCACTATAAGAAAACATAAGTACTTGTTGTTCGAACACTAGACTTACCCTCTCTCCCATGGCGCCACCTAGCTCCACGACGTCATCGTCGATCCTCTATGCCTCTATCGCCATCACCATTAATTCCTTCTAAAATATGATATTAACATATTCATAAACTCCTTGTGTTGTTCGTAATGGTTTTGATCTAGTCTTTTCTCTAGTAGCGAAGTGCACTTAGTATTGGTGGATCGGCAAAAGGACCGTGGAGCCACCCTTCGGCGATGAAGCGGTATGTAGCCTCCGTGTAGTGAATCCCATCCCAGTTCACGAACACCGAGGGATCCTTCCAGGCAGTCACCCCCGGCATGCCGCAGACAGCGCTGGCATTCCAGTTGTATGCCCCGCCGCCTCCGCAGCAAGCCTGTAGAGCGTCGCCGCCGGCCACTCCTGCAGATTCATTGTTCTTTTTTAAAACTCGGTGACCCCACAACAGCAAGCGTCAGCAACACGGACACACAATCCCTGCGAACTTTCTGGTCCTTACCGAATCGGCTGGGGTTTTCGAGGATCGTGATGATCGGGCCGTAGAAGTCGGCGTAGATGATCACGACATGCGAGTACTTGCCCCTGAGAGCGCCAATCGCCGCGCGGAGCATGGAGTTGTGGTACTTGGCCACGCCGTTGATGTCGCTTAGGCAGCCGATGCGGTCGTACATCATCATCTTGTTGAAGCTCGAGCGGGTCGTCAGCATGGTGGGTGAGCACCCGTTCGGTGGATTCCCCGGCACGACCACATAAACTGCACCTTCTTTGATGAGCCTCTGTGGTACCAAAGCAGACACACTAGTTTAGCGTGGTGTCGCGTCCTAACGTTACAAGGCAAAAAAAGATGCGTTGTGTAAAAAACATCCAAATCAAAACTGAACAAGTTGCACAATAAATGTACCTCCACGGCCACGGCAATATTTTTCACAACTTTAGGTACATAGGATCTCACTTCGTCTTCAGTCTTCCCGGCATTCCACAGGAAGTTGTAGTCATTCACTCCAAACTCCCCAACGAAGAAGAGGGCTTTACTGAAGCATTCACCTTGTCCTGTAAGTATCATGCAGTTTTTCAGTATGTAACTGGCAGGGTGCAATGGCTAGACTGGAGGGCATGCCACATACTTACGGTCTTGTTGCAAATCGTTGGCTTGAGTTCCTCGAACCAGCCCAGCTGCACGTTCAGAGAATTGTTTATCAGCTTGAACTGGACCAGTTTGCTCCTCTCATAGAAGTCGACGTCGATCGCCGTCGCGCCTCCGACGGCGAAATTGACGCCCTTGGAGACGTCGTCTGAGCTGTTTAGCAGGGAGGCTCGAAGAAGTGGGAGACCAAACTGCTCGGCTGGTACCAAACCAAAACAGGACATGCACTCAGACTCCAAAATAGTAAGACGCATGCATGTCTAGATATTCAGATCCCATCAAGTCTAATTGTGAGCAAATTGTTCCCTTGATGAAACGAACAAGATGGTTCAACTTACCGATGAAATCGACGGTGACTCGCCCGTCGCTGAGGCGGCCCGTGGGGCGCCCAAAGAAGGTCATGCCGTAAGGAGGCCTCTCATGCCACACGGGCACCGCCGGAGGAGCCATGACCACAAAGTTGCCGGCATCGATGTAGGAGTCTCCAAGGGTGAACAATGAGGTGAAGTACGGCGAGCCGGAGCTCACGCCATGGAGACAGCTGCAGAGGAGAAAGGAGAGCGCGAGAGCGAGTCCCATGGCTGCTAAAACTTGAATGCTGCAGAAAAATCTAGGGCCCGCGAGGGCCAATTATAGTGAGAGGCTGCCCCGGCTGCTATTCTGGTAAAGGAAATGGTCTTGCTTTGTTAGTCAGCCGAGTGGCGTGCTGTCATTTTCTGATAGGGTTTGTAGTTGTGGAGTTATTGTACGGAAATTCTAATTAAGATGATAAGAGCTCCTGAACTGGTACGAGCCAATACCGTGGCTAATGTTAAGAGTATCACCTCTGAGTACTGTAGTTTGAAGAAGAAGTTGGTGGCGTTGATGGGGTTAGGGTGTATAGAAATGCACCGTCAGTCTCACACCTTTTATTTGCTGATAATTCCCTAATCCTCATGACGGCGGATATGTTAAATGCAGCTTCCTTACATCATGCACTAGATGATTATTGCACTAACACTGACCAATTGGTGAGTAGATCAAAATCAAGCATATTCTTTAGCCCTAATACCAATGTGGTGGCGAGGGAAGAAATTTTCAAGAATTACATATTGACACTGAAGCACTCTCAGATAAATATTTAGGCCTACCGGCTCTGGTAGGAGCAGAGAGGAGTGATTGCTTCAAGCATTTTGTTGAGAGAATCAGAGAAAGAATTGGTGTTTGGATGGCCAAACTTTTATCAATGGGCGGTAAAGAATTGTTGTTGAAAGCAGTTGCTCAAGCTATTCCTGTGTTTGCCATGTCGGTGTTTAATATCCCTACACTAGTAGAAAAAGGGTCAAATCTGAGACATATTAGTGCCGATTTGATTTTCAGCCGGCACTAATGTGTCCGTTAGTGTCGGTTCCAACGGCTAGCCGGCCGCTCTCGTTAGTACCGGTTTGTGGCGAACCTTTAGCACCGGTTCGTGCCACGAACTGGTACTAAAGAGAGTGGTGGCAGGATGTTGTCAGTCTGGGGCCCCTCCAGCACCTTTAGTACTGGTTCGTGGCACGAACCGGTATTAAAGGTCGTCGTACATAAACCCTTCGTCCATCCGAGCTCGCTCTATTCTTCCCCTTTCCCCTCACTTCATCTGTTCTTCCCCTCTCTTCCTCGAGCTCGTCACAAATTTTGCCCAAAATTTGTCAAGATTTGAAGGCCCCCATCCATTCAAATGATCACAAAGGTTAGCAACATTGTCCTTTCATCTCTCATTGCTAGATTAGCTCTTGCAATGCTTTGTATAGTGATTAAATTGAGAGTTTAGTAATTTGGGAGGAATTATATGTGCTAGTATTTGATTTATATGCAATTTGAGGTCAAAAATAACACTTAGTTTGCATATGTAGGTGTGGTTTACTTAGTGCCTTCTAAATCTCCGTCATAACCACCGTCGACCGCCCGCATCGTCCTGTCGCCGGCACCACCTTATGGTGAGGCTCTTGTTCATGAATGTTTTACATTACCAAATTGATGTTTGTGTGATTTGGATATATAGTTACTCATATAATTATCTTACTCGTATGTTGTTTGTTATACATGGTGCCATGGTTTTGATATACGTCCCCGTCGGCCCTCGTCCTTGTTATGATTCAGATGTGGTATATTCTCTTTTAAAACTAGTTGTTGCATTTCGTGTTTATGACAAATTATGCCCATCAAGTTGACATAGATATTTTTATCTAGGAGGTATGTGAACCGGAAATTCCAACCGACCCTATTGTCGAGAGGTTAAATTTAGTTGAAAGAGAAAACGAGTATTTGAAAGAAAAATTAAAAAGAATTGAGGGGAGAAGATGGAATTGGAGTTGCATGTTGCCGATGTTATCGGTGATCACAAGATCAAGATGGAGAAAATGCGGAGAAAGATTAGAAAATATGCCATTGATAGTGTGGCTTGGTATCATTATGTTGTTAGATCAATTGTTACCTTAGTTGCGATCTTGATCGCATTTGTTGTTGCATTTTAATTCTTTAGCTAGAGAGTTATTTGTATGTTGCATTTAATTAAGTATTGTATATGAACTTTATATATGAACTTGTATTAATTTGGTCTATTCGGTGTTGTGTAATGAAGATGAGCCGACAATGGATGTATGATGACCGATGCTCTCCCGAGTTCATTAATGGCGTGCATACTTTTCTGCTTGCCGCTGAGGCAAACAAGCGGGCGGATGGTTTTATGCCTTGTCCATGTGCTGGCTGTAAGAATGGTCACAATTACTCTACGACAAGAACCATTCACGTCCACCTATTTGAGTCCGGTTTCATGCCCCACTATAATGTTTGGACCAAACACGGGGAAAGAGGGGTTATGATGGAAGACAATGAAGAAGAAGAGGACGACGACATCTATCCTGGCCATGGGTTCCCTGAATACGATGATACAACAATGGGGGAAGAAGCTGAGCCAGCAATGCGGGAAGAAGCTGAAGAAGAGGCATCAGATGAGCCCGCTGATGATCTAGGTCGGGCCATTGCTGATGCAAAGAGAAACTGCGCAAGTGATTTGGAGAGGAAGAAGTTGCAGCGCATGTTAGAGGATCACAAGAAATTGTTGTACCCGAATTGCGAAGCTGACAAAAAAAGTTGGGCACCACACTGGAATTGCTGCAATTGAAGGTAAAGAATGGTGTATCTGACAAGGGATTTGGAAAGTTGCTGGTAATGATAAAGAATATGCTTCCAAAGGACAACGAATTGCCCGAGAGTACGTATGAAGCAAAAAAGGTTGTCTACCCTCTAGGGTTAGAGGTGCAT